CTGAGGTCCACTCTGCCCTAATGTTCTGCATCCTGAAGTCCACACCGACCCCAGCATTCTGTGTCCTGAGGTCCACTCTGCCCTCATGTTCTGCATCCTGAGGTCCACGCCGACCCCAGCATTCTGTGTCCTGAGGTCCACTGAGCCCTAATGTTCTGCGTCCTGAGGTCCACTCTGGCCCGGCATTCTGTCAGAGCTCCCTCTTAACTCCGACATTCCAAACTCTCTTCCAGCTCGAACACCCCAAGGTTTAAGGTGACTTTCAGTCCTGAAAGGCCAAGGTTATCTGAGAGAGTTTGGTCCAAGAAGAATAAAATCTCCCTAACTGGGGATCCCAGCTTCAACTGCCTCTTGTCTTTTTCTTTCAGAAAATGCCACCGCCGGCACCAATGAGGCCGAGCGCAAGGCTCAGCAGTATTACCAGGCCTGTATGAACGAGTCCAAGATCGAGGAGCTGAAGGCCAAGCCTCTGATGGAGCTGATTGAGAAGGTAAGGCTCCCAGCTCTCTGGGCTGGCTTTGCCCCCTCTCTCACCTGCACCACCGCTCCCAAGCCTCTCTGGAGGCTACAGTTATCAGCAAACATAGACTTGTCACAGTATCAAGAATTTAAAAAAAGCAGTAAAGCGTCTAAGCCACTTACTAAAGGTAGTAACAGAGCTGTCCTGTGTTTATGGAAGATCACCTTCCCAAGCAGGGTGCCCACCCTTCTGGGGTCATAGTCTAGAGATGAGCACAGTGACTGGTACATAGTAGGTGCCTGATAAATGCTGTTTGGCTGACTGGAAGGGATCTCTGAGACCATTTAGCCCAATCTCTTCTTTTGACAAGTGAAGAAACTGAGGCCCAGAGTGGTGAAACCAGTAGTGATTCGCTGCTCTTCCCATACTGCCTCTACCTCTGACTGCTCTGGTAGATGGTAGCGTGTTTTGAACAGGAAATTCTCAATGTCACTACTTCCTTTTCCTCGAAGGGTGTACGCATGAAAGACAGATGGTCTTGGCCCAGGATTAGAGAGATACCTTCTCTGTGTGGAGGGAGCCCCCAGTGGCCTCTCCCCTCTCCCTCAGGAAATGGGTGGGGGCAGGGGCTCTCAGCATTCTTTCTTATCTTTTTCCCTGTGACATCACAGTGAGCAGGCTGAGCGGGGGACCTGGGGGCTGCTCCCCCAAGGCACCAAGCACAGGATAAATGATTGAATGCAGGCCCTCCCAGCTCTGACATTTCTCTGTTCTAAGGTTTCTCCCAGTTCTGACTTTCCTTCTAAGGGCCCTCCCAGCTCTGACATCCTGTGTTCTGAGGGCCCTCCCAGCTCTGACATCCTGTGTTCTAAGGGCCCTCCCAGCTCTGACATTCAGTGTTCTAAGGGCCCTCCCAGCTCTGATATTCGGTGTTCTAAGGGCCCTCCCAGCTCTAACATTCTGTGTATATTCCTTAGAAGAAAAATATAAGAATCACCTTTTATTTCTCTAAAACATGACTTATGATCACTGCATAAAGGCGACCATCACACAAGTTTCTACTAATGCCCGTTCCCTTCCTTCTTACCGGATCTCATTGTCTCTCTTATTCCCATCTAACTTGAAGAGGGGCTTGAGTCTTGCAATAAGGAGACACTTGAATTTGAATTCTGGCTTTGACAGTTACTAGCTTTCTGGCCCTGGGCAAGTTTCTTTTCCTCTTTGAGCCTCAGTTTCCATATCTGTAAAATGAGACTCATAATACTTACCCTAACTCCCAGGGCTATGGCAATATGAACCATTATTGTTTCTGCCTCAATATGATTAAGCAGGGGCTCTCGCCAGGTCCTCACAGTTCTCTCCTCTGTTCTCTCTCATCTCCCATAGCTTGGTGGCTGGAATATCACAGGTCCATGGGATAAGGACAACTTCCAGGAGACCCTGCAGGTGGTCACTGCTCACTATCGGACTTCCCCTTTCTTCTCTGTTTATGTCAGTGCCGACTCAAAGAACTCCAACAGCAATGTGATTCAGGTGAGTTCTACCCCCTGAGCCGTTTGGGGCCCCAACCTCTGAATTGTATAAAGATGTCTAGCCCTGCCTGGATGAAAACATTTGGGCAGTTTGCCTGTTACCTGTCCAGGACATCCGTGCCCCTCCCTGTCTCCCAACCTGGGCTAGTTCTTACCTTTCCCAGATGAGAAAACTGAGGTCCAAAGAGAAGAGCCTCACCCAAGGTCAAAGAAAGGTCAGACTTGAAGTCCATACCCAGTGCTCTTCTCCCAACATTATAATTCGGTTGGGCAATGACTTTGGTCTGTGGGGTTTTTTTTTTAATTATATTATTTCTTTTAATATTCATTTTTAAAAATTCTGAGTTCCCAGTTAGTTTTCACCGTCCCTCCAGCCCCTCCTCTACCCATTGAGAAGGCAAGCAATATGGTATCAGTTATACACGTGAAGTCATGTAAAACATTTTCAAGTTAGTCACATTGCAAACAGCAATAACAAAAAAAGCAAGAAAAATAAAACAAGTGAAAAAAAAGTCTGCTTCAGTCTGCCCTCAGAGTTCATCAGTTCTCCCTCTGGAGGTGATTTCTCATCATGAGTCCTACGAAATTGTCTTGGATCATTGCATTGAGTAGAGTAGCTGAGTCTTTAACAGTTGATCATTATACAATATTGCTGTTACTGGGTATACTGTTCACCTGGTTCTACTAGCTTCATTTTGCATCAGTTTATATAAGTTTTTCCAGGTTTTTCTGAGACTGTCCCTCTTGTCATTTCTTTTTTTTTTCCTTTGTGCTAGGCAATTGGGATTAAGTGACTTGCCCAGGGTCACACAGCTAGTATGTGTTATGTGTTGTGTGTCCGAGACCGGATTTGAACTCAGATCCTTGTGACTTCAAGACCGGAGCTCTATCCACTGCACCACCGACCTGCCCTGAAGCTTTTTTTTTTTTTTGTAAGGCAGTTGGGGTTAAGTGACTTGCCCAGAGTCACATAGCTAGTAAGCATTATGTGTCTGAGATCAGACTTGAACTCAGGTCCTCCTGACTCCAGGGCCAGTGCTCTATCCACTGTGCCACCTAGCTGCCCCTCCCTTGTCATTTCTTATAGCACATTCCAGTAGTATTCCATCACAATCATATACTACAGTTTGTTCAGCCATACCCCAGTTGATGAGCATCCCTTCAATTTCCAATTTTTTACCACCACAAAAAGAGCTGCTATAAATATTTTTCTACATCTGGGTCCTTTACCTTTGTCTTTGATATTCTTGGGATACAGACTAGTAGTGGTATTGTTGGGTCAAAGGGTATGCACAGTTTGGTTGCCCTTTGGATGTAGTTCCAAATTGATTTCTAGAATGGTTGGACTAGTTAACAACTCCACCAATAGTACATTGGTGTCCCTATTTTTTCCACATCCCCACCAGCATTTGTTATTTTCCTTTTCCGTCATGTTAGGTCATCTGATAGGCGGTATCTCAGAGTTGTTTTAATTTTCATTCCTCTAATCAATGGTGATTTAGAGCATTTTTTAGGTGATTATTGAGAGTTTTGATTTCTTCTTCTGAAAACTGCCCATTCATATCCTTTGTCCATTTATCAATTGAGGAATGGCTCTTATTTTTATAAATATGGCTCAGTTCCCTATATATTTGAGAAATGAGTATGTATGGGGTCTTTTCTTGTTGATCGCTAGTACCTCTTTTGTTTTCTTCTAGGTGGACCAGTCTGGTTTAGGGTTACCTTCAAGAGATTATTATCTGAATAAGACAGAAAATGAGAAGGTGAGTATCACTAATCAGAGACCCCAGCTCCCCACGGTCCCGGGTCACTTTCTCCAGGTGCAAGGACCCCATCTTTCCCCTCCCCTCTCCTCGTGCTCCTCTTTCTTTTCCTCCTCTCCTCTTGTCTCCTCTCTCCTCCAATGGGCCCTTTTTTTTTTTTTTTTTGAGCCCATCCCCACCAGAGAGAATTGAAAGCTAGCAAGGAGCAAAGATGTTATTTGGCTGATGGGAAATCAGCAGTAAACCCCCTGGGCCAAGAAGGGGTCTTCCCTGAACAAGTCTCATGAGGTCCAAAGCAGGAGACAAATGAGCTTCCTCTCTGTTTCAATGGGAGATGCCCCTGGGCAGAGCTGCGCCAAGCTTGCCTGCCTAGTATGGGAAAGAAAAATAAATGATTATTAAATGAATGAATGCCTGGGTGTTGAAATTCATTCTGTAAATGTAACTAATCGTAAGGCAAGTTGAACTTATTTCATCAAGGCTTAATGTTAAATGATTAAATTTATAATAAAACGTCTTTTTCTTTAAAGGCCTATGGGGTTTTAGGGGATTTGCAAGGTCAGCAATATGAGGTGGTTGCCAAAAAAGCCATCTTAGGCTGCACTTAGAGACATTGTGGCCAGAACTGATCAGGGAGGTGAATGTCTTGTTGTCCTCCCAATTGGTCAGACAACAGCGATGGTGATTTCTGGAGCACTGTGCTCCTCTCTAGGCACCCCACATTTTAGAAAGCACTTGGTTAATTAGAGTCTCCAAAAGGGGGCAGTATCGAGAATCATGAAGGGCCTAGAGTCCAGGCTGTACAAGGAACATTAAAAGCAGACGTTCTTCATTTTAAAAAAATATTTTTTTTATTACTGTATTTTAATATAATTGATTTCCTTTGTAATTCTATGCATTTTATGTTATGCATCTAAAAACATTCTGAGTAGGAGCTCTTAGGCTTCCCCAGACTACCCAGGATATCTGTGACACAAAAGAGATTAAGGTTGTTGTTGTTCAGTCATTTGCAGGCATGTCTGACTCTCTGTGACCCCATTTGGGGGTTCCCTTGGCAAAGATTCTGGAGTAGTTTGCCATTTCCTTCTCCAGCTCATTTTATAGATGAGGAAACTGAGGCAAACCAGGTTAAGTGACTTGCCCAGGGTCACACAGTAAGTGTCTGCGGCTAGATTTGAACTCAGGTCTTCCTGATTCCAGGCCTGGCACTCTATCCACTGTGCCGCCAAGCTGCCCCCAAAATGGTTAAGGACCCAAAAGAGGTTAAGGACCCCTGGCTTAAAAGAACTAGATGTTAGACTGGATGTTTGCCCTGGAGAAGAGGAGGCCGGGGGCGGGGGGGGTTCATAAGCTATCTTTGGACTGCCATGGGACGAGCCCTTAGCTTTCGTTCTACTTGGACCCAGAAGGCAGAACCAGGGGACTGTGTGCCAGGTGTAGAGAGGCAGATTTAGGCTCGAGGTCAGGAAAAACTTTCCCAGCGGTCCTCATTTCGAGCAAAGGCAGAGGTGGGCATAATCGCTTGTCCGGTGTGTTGTCCTTCAATTCCCTTTCCAGCTCTGAGGTTCTGGAATTCTGTGAAGAAAGAAGAGTCAGGTGAGGTTCCGTTCCCCAGCCCTGGAGGGCCACAACATTCTTTAATTCAGTGTTCAGCAAACATTTATTGAGTGCCTACTGTATGCACTTCACTGTTCATGACACTGGGTTGAGGGTAGATACCAAGATGGGTGGTTCACAGTCTAGCAGGAGAAATAAGCCATGCACACAAATAAATAAAATGTGAAATAGACTAGAATATAATAAATTCATAGGAAGAGTACCAAACACCATGTGATTATAAAAATGAGCAGTCATTTCCAGGTGTGGGGACCAAGGAAGACTACATAGGCAAAATGTGGAAAGGGATCCCCGTACTCAGGGGGCCAAATGAGACACATACCTTGAGATATGACCCATTCAGGAATTTGCTTTTTTTTTTTTTTACTATAAGTATTTTCTACAAGGGTTTTGTTTTTTCTTTTTCCAGTGGCAGGGGAAGTGGGAGGGAGAGAAAAGAGATTTTTATTCATTAAAAAAAGAAAATTTAATTAAGAAAAAAAGAATGGGAATCTTGATCTAGAGTTAGAGAGGTCATCTGGCCTAAGGCCCTCATTTTACAGATGAGGAAATGGGCCCAGAGTGGAGAAGTGACTCATTTGCCCAGCCTTCCACAGAGAGTTAGTGGCCAAGGTAGGACTAGAACCCAGGTCCTCGGGCTTCCCATTCACTGCCCCTTCACTACGTCATCTTGGCTCTTCCAGGTCCTGACAGGCTACTTGAACTACATGGTGCAGTTGGGCAAGCTCCTAGGAGGAGGAGACGAAGATTCTATTCGTTACCAAATGCAACAGATCTTGGACTTTGAGACAGCGCTAGCCAACATCACCATTCCCCAGGAGAAGCGCCGGGATGAGGAGGTCATTTACCACAAAGTATCCGCCGGAGATCTGCAGGTAACCAGGCTGTCTGTCCTGGCAGAGGGCAGCAGCCCCCTGTCTGGCTGAGATCCTGCTGGGCTTTCTTGGGGGGTCCACGTTCAAATGGGCTTTTTCTCTTTTTGTCCAAGCTTTCCTTAAAAAGCTGTCAGTGTGTAACTATCGCTAATGTGTTGTTGCTTCAGTACCATTTGAGGATTGATTGAAGGAAACAGGAGTGTTTAGTCTAGAGAAGAAAAGGCTGCCTTTCTGTTACATCCACCCAGTATTGCTGTTCTCCGGGGCCAAGCAGAATAGGAATGACTTACTCGCCAGACAACCCTTCAGATACATGTTTGTGTATTTTGTCTTGCCAACTTGCCTGGATGACCCCGTGGTGGCAGGGACTGTGTCTTTTACAGGTTGTCCCAAAAGTCTTACTGCAGCTTTAACCTTTAAATGGTTACCACAATAGGTGACTTCAGAAGTTTGATGAACTGTGCTGTGGAAGAGTGATTAGTCTTGTTCGTAATCCCCGAGGACAAAACTAGGAGCAACAGGGGCAAGTTAAAGAGAGGATGATTTAGGCTGTCTAACAATGACTCCCATGTTCTGAGCTCCTATGAGTCCAATTCTGAGATTCTGTGGTTTCCAGTTCTGAAATTCTGTGATTTGAGTTTTA